TATCTGAATTTGAGATAACAAATAAATAAAAAATAAAAAATCCATAGCAAAATTTCATTCAAACAGGCAAAATGACAATTGATTAAAAATAGTTAACAAAGCATGCAACTATACCTTTCTCCATGTTGACTGTGTCAAATGGAAAAAACATCCCACAACTTCTACGTTTGCACCGAAGATATCATGTAAGGCACGTCTGGGGGCAATTTCGAAATCTAACATAACAGTGGTTGGAGCCAAAATTATGTTGTGTTCTTGCGCCTTATCTTTAATTGCCTTAAAAACTTCTTCATATGACGCCTGATTTCTTGATGTCATTAGGGCATAGGCGCATGTTACATAATGGTTAAGATAGGCAACTCTAATAAAGTACAGTTGGTGAAAAATATTTGGAGACAAGCTAAAATTACCATCCATAAACCATCTGCAAATATATAATAGTTAATATATATCAAAAATAAGCGAAGTGGTTTAATTACAGATGGAACTTCAATTTCGAAGTAACTAATTAATTTAATAAGCCGCATTCTTCCTAAATAAAAAAAATGTAACTACCTAGTACTTCTTCCCATTTGTTGTAATTGCACGAATGTCGAAAAAACAATTATCCGGTTGAATGGATTGGCTCCACTGTCGTAGATGATGACATTTTCGTTGCCTTCTCTCATCTGCCAAGCTTTTGGTATTTCGAATTCTGTATTGGATGGTTCAATTGGAATTGGTTTCTAATTGTTTTTGTCACGTGATCTTTATGGCCTACATTTGCTCTGTCTTCTTCATCTAACCCCGATAAAGCATCTGCATATATTTGGCTCTGTTTGGCCGTAGAAGATAGTATAGCAGTCTTTTTCATTTCATTCAAAACCTTCGCTTTTGCAATTTCTTCGGGTTCTGAAACATGGTTGTGTTCTTTCTGACACTTTATTTCAGTAATCTAATTATATAATTTAGTAAAGACAATATATATATATTGAAATGAATTTATATTTATATATCAGATTAACAAATAAAAAGATATATTGATTATTTACCTCAATGTTTGTTGAAATTGCTCCTAAACAGTTGAAAAATGTTTTTCTAGAGCATTGCCAACGAATCGTTGCTCCTCTACTCAATTTTTTTTGTATACATATACCCTTCCAAACACAACTTCTGACCTCCTTTATTATTTTCAATAATTTCCATAGTAACAGAATAAAATAACGATTAAAATTTTTACAACTTTGAAGTCCATGCCAATAAACTTTTTATATGATATTAATACACAAAGAAACCTTGAAATAAAATTCTATTTTTTTAAAATTTAAATTACACTATTGATTAAATGCATGCAAATTGCTTTCTCATCATCAATCATCATTGATTGTTCTAAATTTACATGCCATTTTGCGCTAGAAAGCTTGAGAACCATTTTACTTAATTATATGTTTATGGTCTTTTGCATAATGTTTAATTTTTTATCATCAACGATTTGTGTTTTTTGGTCCGTTGCTCCTCTACTCAATTTTTCTTGTATACATATACCCTTCCAAACACAACTTCTGACCTCCTTTATTATTTTCAATAATTTCCATAGTAACAGAATAAAATAACGATTAAAATTTTTACAACTTTAAAGTCCATGCCAATAAACTTTTTATATGATATTAATACACAAAGAAACCTTGAAATAAAATTCTATTTTTTTTAAATTTAAATTACACTATTGATTAAATGCATGCAAATTGCTTTCTCATCATCAATCATCATTGATTGTTCTAAATTTACATGCCATTTTGCGCTAGAAAGCTTGAGAACCAATTTACTTAATTATATGTTTATGGTCTTTGTCGATGTAATTGTCCTAGAACCGTTTTTGGCACATGCTGTAACACTTTAACAACCCTATAATCCATTCCAATAAACCTCTCAGATAATATTAATACACAAAGAACATAATAAAGTTATTATGATTTTTATTAATTTTTATTGAAACAAATTTTTTATGTAAAAATGTGATTTCCTTTTTGTATGTATGAATATTTTAAAAATCAAATAGTATCGTTGGATTTTTTTTCTGGAAGACTTTTTTTCCTGAAGACGTTTTTTCTGGAAGACTTTTTTTCTTGAAGACTTTTTTTCTTGAAGGCATTTTTTCTGGAAGACCTTTTTGAATGAAGATATTTTTACTGAAGATATTTTTTCTGAAGACATTTTTTCCTGGTTACCAAAAACAACTACTGTGTTTTTCTTTCTTTACTAAAATCTCGAAATTGTTTGTAGATCTGTACGGTTAACTGTTTGTTCTAGTTTTATTTTTGTTTTTATTTTTGTTTATTTGGTTTATTCAATTTAGTTGATTGATTGATCGGTTGATTGATCGGTTGGTTGATTGATTGATTGACTGACAGACTGGCTGGCTGGCTGGCTGGTTGGCTGACCGACCGACCGACCGACTGCCTGATTGTTTGATTGTTTGATTGATTTATCTTATAGTATTGTATACATGAGAAATAATCCGATTAAGCCAACCTACGGCTTCAGTAAGCCACTGTTTTTCACCTGACAAAAGCAATTTCTATATTTATACTAACAAAAATAATTGTGATATGAATATATTGATTTATTTAAAGCATTATATGTACAAAAAAGTGCTATCGTAAGAGTTCTATGAAACCCTGTAAGCCACTTACATGTAAGCCAACGTATGATTTCAGCAGCCAGTTTCTTATGAGCACCAGCAGAATGTAAAATATTCATTGAATATAATGAAGATAGTTGTTCAAATAACAATTTTGATTTATTTAGGCCGTTTATTTCATAAGCAAACCAATTTTTAACATGATCGAATAGTGTAAAAAAAAAGTGTGACTATAGTTCAATCCTACTAAGCCAACCTTCGGCTTCAGTAAGCCACCGGATTTCACCGGACCAAAAGCAATTTTTATATTCAAATTAACAAAAATAATTTAATAATACATAATTCTATTAATCATTATTAAAATTAAATAGAATTACTACAATATTTTAAGCATATTGAATCAAGTAAATATTTCATTTAGCTTGCACGTTAAAATCCATGCAGTTTCGTAAGCCAACAATCCAAGCACGACGATAGATCGAATTGATCGATTAGTCCTATTATTCTAGTCATATGATTTGGAGCAAGGGGAGACATTACTGAAAATAATTAAAAGTTGAAAAAATTGAGGTTCTTTGCATATCCCTGCTTCAACCCATAAGAGGGTTTTGTATGCTGGTAAATAGGCCTCCCCTTGATTATGGATATATATAAAATATATATATTTATCATATATATGTATCCATGTTTAACATAGATATCTTAACCGCAGCAAATTAAGCGCCTCATGGGAAATTAACATCTTAAAACATACAATCGAGTATTTGATCCTTCGGCAGCCATTTTCTGCGTGACCAGCCTTTGTTTTTGTGCCGATCTATTTGAGGAAATCCCTTTGAAAATTAGTTAAAAGTTAGCTGCACTAAAATGATAAAGCGAGGTCTTCCCACGAGTCGGCGTCGAGTCATTGCAGTCCGGAGAAATGTTAGTAGATAGTTTTAACTTTTAGGTTTAGGTGTTGCAATTTTTCGTTTTTCAACAATCTTAAAATAAAAAATTCTAGGCCCAGCTCATTCAGATTCATTTGCATTTCATTTATTTAGGTCTCAATTCAGTATACTAAATTCTAAAACTGATGTAAATGTAAATATTTAATACAGTATTAAAAAATTATATATTAAATATTATATTAATATTATTATTATTATGTGACTTTGTTATTACAATTATGTTTTCATTAACTGTTGCTATGTTGTTCATGAATTTTGAATTCCATATTTATTAACAAAACTAAAAAAAACAAACACCTAATTAGTAAATTAACTTTGTCGCTTGCCTTGATTATTAAATTCAAATGTTTATTCGATATTTTGATATTTGAAAATATTGAAAATGTTTGAATTTGCATGTTCTCTTCCCTAAAAAGTGATATTTCAGAATAGATGATGAATGTCATTAATCTGTTACATTACAGAGTACCAGCAGTTCAACAACAAGAAAACCATTGAGAGATAGCTCTCTTTCTAGCGCTGCTGCACCTCGGCGAATAAAAAACAAACTGTACGTATGTGGACTCCTTCCGACTATCCTCAGAGAGGAACTTATCAGAGAATTTGGTCCTTATGGAAAGTTGCAGGAGGTGTGGGTTGCCAAAAAGCCACCGGGTTTTGCATTTGTTGAATTTGTAAATGCCAGAGATGCAGAAAGGGTGGTGCATGAATTGGACGGAGCAAAAGTTTGAAACTTTTATTTTGTATTTATTACAATAATCATTTAATTTCTAAATATGGTTTATGTAATTAAAAGTTGTTGAATAATTTTTTTGATTCTCACGATTCAGATTCTTGGGTCAAAGGTTAGAATTGAATTTGCCAAAGCCAACAAAGGACCAGATGAATATCCAAAATTAAAGAAGTATCCCTCAATGTCTGGTCAGTCTATCATCCCATCGATAATGCCATCAGGTGAGATAGTCACAAAGCCACCTCTTCTTCCTGGCCCTCCTGTCCCGCTACCACTTCTTAGTGCTGCTCCAGTTTCTCTTGGGTCTAAATTAGGGATGGTAGGCCCATCAGTGGACATAAGGAAAAGAAGGAGATACGATTCCAATGATCAGACTGAATCTGTGGGCCACAGACCACTTATGTCACCGCCTGTAAGGAGGTTGACCAGGTCACCTGTGCAGAGAGGAAGGTCAGTTTATTTTTTTTCATATTTGCATGTATTTTGCTGATGTGATCATGTTTTTTTATGTATATATATGTATATACGATTCTGATGATATATATATATAAATTATTATTTCAAATATTAATTTTTTGTGATCATGCATTGAATTAGTTATTCAATTCAATTAAACAGAGGCTAATTAGAAAAGTCGCGATTGTCATAAATTCAAATTGATTTCAAAACTGAGCATCACTATCTGGTCTGTTGAAGTGTGTTTAGTTGCATAAAGCACTATCTATCGCTCCGTTGAGTGAACTCATTCAACATTCTACTACTGTCGACCAACAAATGAAAATGATCAGCACTCCCACAGTACATCAAACCACACGAACATGCAATCTCTTCACCCCAATCATCATCATTTCTTCTGCTTCAATTCATTCTACTCATTCACATGAATATTAAAATATTGTTTAATTAGCTTGAACTACATGCATACAAAACATACTAATTTTTTCATTAAATTAGATTGTAGAAATGATTAGGCTTAAAATTTCTTTTGTTCATCATTTTATCAAATTAATTGAATGCACTCAACACATTGTCTAAAAAGTAAGCAAACTGCTAAGTCTGATACTGGCTTCGTCGATTCTGCACCCTATATCAACGGCTTTCGTATTGTTCAACAGTTCTTCAACACACCGTGTAACAATGTACATGAATTTGTCAGCTATTCGTCGCAGATCAAAAGATTGTCAAGGTTTAATCTAATGAATAACAACAACATAACGGGGTATGGCACTCACATACATCAAAATCTTCTGCATGCAGTCTTGTTTGTTCATTCATTGTGTCTCTTTCACAGTTACACAATTGTTCAGCATAATTCTACTTCACTAATGATTTAACAAATTTATCTTCCTCATAGTTTAATGATTCATTAGCCAACTCCTGGAAAGCATCAGGTGCCTTTGTTACATTCAACAATCAGTTGTTTGTTCTTTGAACAAAAACAATCATCTGATCAGTACGTTTCAAATCATTCAATCAAAAGGCTGCAATAAACTAAAGAGAGAAATCAAATATATTAAAAAAAAAATAACTACACACATCAACATCATCATAATTTTAAAGTGCATTGTATTGGATTGAATCATGTTCCATCAGTACCTTCATTTGTGGCATTGAGCAAACAGCTCATCATCTCCTCTCATCATCTCGTACATTGGTTTGGAATGAAGTTTAAATTACTTGACCGTCTATCTACAAACTGTTGCCATCAACGTCATCAATTGTATTGTTTTATCAGCACAAAGCTACTACACTACACTAATGATAAATAATCAGTGCGAACACAATTCATTGAGAGGATCAACATCATAATTTAACACTGGAATGCTCCAATCCTCTCCCCATCATCAATTGGTCCTTTTAAGAACAACACACCACACAAATATACAGCAGCAGAGGCATTTAAATGCTTACAATTCTTAACAATCTTGTTTTCAATGTTCTTCACTGCATGCTCGCAAGTTTTCCATTTCGCAAATTTCCAAAATTAAAGTGGTTTGAATTCCAGGTTGAATGATACATTTCTCTATAGCTCAACTAAATTTTTATTTATTTTTTTTTTTTTGAAAAGATGAATAATTTAATTGATTCGAATATTAATCTTTCAATTGTTGCCAATTAGCAACGAACACGTTGCTCTTTTGTTATTTGTTAGTTCATTTGTTAACTCCAGTAATGGTTACAAAGTTAATACAAAAACTATGATGATGATGATGATGATGCCAATCAGGTTGTTGTCCCCGCCTCCCAAGAGAAGTAACATGGGCTCTCCTGATTTCCATAGGAAAGTTGACTCCTCCTTCCTCCTGCCTCCTCCATCCAGGTTCGTAATACACTGGCTGACTGAATCTTTGATTAGTATCCGTAAATTAGTATTAGTTGATTAGTATCTTTGTGTATGTATACTTTTATTTATAAAAATTAACACACACACCACACACACACATAAATATATATATATATATAGAAAATAATTTTTCTTAATATTTGTGGTTATAAAAATAAAATGTCGTTGACTACATTCACCAACAATATTTTGTTCATTAAATTTAAAAATTACATGCGCTTACATAAAGAATATTTAATCATCCATGTTGATTGTCTGCACGCAGATTGTTGTCTTCCTCTCCAAAAAGAAGTGTGGAATCTCCAGAGTTTCAGAGGAAAGTCAGCAAGACTCCTTCATTTGTTCCTCCTCATTCCAGGTAACTTTCATTCTTAAAGTTGTGGAAATAATATTTTTTGTCGTGGAAATGTTATATTTAATTAAATTCTGTACCATTTATTTTACAAAAATTTTGTTTATTCATTTGTCAGGTCATTATCAAAATCATCAGAAAGATCTGATCAAAGAGACTCTGTAAGCTTAAGGAGAAATTTTCAAAGAAATTCGTGGAGAAGAGATTCAGACGGACATTCACCACCTCTGAACATGGCCAGGACTCGATTGTTGGGCAGAACCCCGCCATCCCCTCCTGTCAGATCACCTGTCAGTAGTGAAAAAAATGAAAAATCAGCAAATCACCAGCACTTTGCCACTCAAAGGAATGATAGCTCAAAGGATTCTGCTAAATTTAAGAATAAAATGGTTTACAGGAGTCCCAGTAAATCTTATGAGTCTGACCAATCACCTGTGAGGAAGGAAATAAAACCATTGACTAAAATCGTCAAGAAGAAAGAAAGGTCCATGTCTGCAACGTCATCACGTTCTGGATCTGGCAAAATGAAACAGGGACATGTAAAAAGGTTAAGAAAACAATCAAGTTCATCTTCATCATCTGCTTCGGAATCTTCAAGATCACCAACACCTGTGCAAAAGAAGTCTTCAAAAAATAACCAAATGGTTAAGAAGTATGTCAAAACAAGCACAAAATTGAATAGTCAAAGGTTACCATCTAACCACTCAGACGATGACCATCACTCATCTGAAAAGAAATTTCCTCATGCATCAAGACCTAAGAAAGGTGGACCAAGATCACCATCAGAATCTTCCATGGAAAAGAATTCAGCCAACAAGTCTCAATCAAAAAGCTGTTCCAGAAGCTCAGAAAGCAAGTCGACATCAAGAGGCAGGCGGACACCACTGGCTTACCAGCGTAGGAGAGATAGTTTGTCGCTGGATAAGAATTCGGCTAGAAAGAAAACAATGAAGTCTCCATCGTCAAAAAGGTCACCACACTTGTCTGGTGAGAGAGAGAGAGGAGGCAGTCCTAACAACCATTCACCCAATCCATACCCCGGAACAAGGATGAGATCATTTGTATCTAAATATTCTCCAGCAGTTCACTACTCTAGACAGCATTATGTCGAAGAAGAAAGCCGATATCGAAGTTATAGAAGGGTGTCGCCGTTACCGCAGCGTCCTGTATATTACGAGGAGCCGGAGAGACATTTTTATGCAGAGCCACCGCCCTATCATCACCTATCGACCAGACATCACCCTTACATTAGGCCTAATGAAATACCAATGAGGATTTCCAGGCCACCAAAACTGCCAGGTGGTTATTACCCTGGTGAAATTATTCAAAAAGAATCTTATATTCGTCGTCAACGAGAGTTCGTATCGGATGCTCCAGGGCCAGATTATTATCGACCTGGACCTAGACAATATTTATTGCCTCCACCTGTTTATTCAAATTATCGGGGCAGTTCACACTTTTCAGGAATGGGCAGAGGAAGATATGAGGGACAATCACGCCCCTACCATAGAAATTACGAACCTTATCGTGGTCGCATTCGCAATCCACCGATATTCTTTGACAACAGTAACAAGGAAAAAAAGAGCACCAAGGAGGAATAAATCGTCACATCGTCATAGCCACACCATCTGGAAACTTTCATACATGTATCTAAGCTGTATTTGTTATTTTATTGAATAGGTAGATGCACAAGTTCAATTTGTAATCTGATGGATGCTTCCTACCTTTAAATGCTGTTTGAATGGTTTGAATGTTGTTTTTTACTTTTCAAAATGTGGCCACTACGATTCTATGCTACATGCGCGGTATCGTAATCATTTTACTTGCGAAATGTTCGCCCACGTTGCAAATTTATTTTGAGTATTTTATGTGGATTTGTAATATATTTCATTCAATTGATGGGGTGTCTGTTGAAGATTTTGAACATGCAAGTTGTTTATAACTTTTATTTCACTAATAATTCAAGCAAAACGCAAAATTTACATATGTAAAAACTAAAAGTGGATGCCATTTGACTAGAGCCAAATTCAGTCCCTTCGAGAAGGTAAATGTTCATAAAAACTCAGTTCATAATATCACAAAGGCCCAACGTTTAAAAAATTTAACTATACAATATAAACTATGAACAACTATTAAAGTTGAAATGTCAAAACAAGTTTTACAATTTCTTCTGGTCTATAGAGGATGATGGGAATATAAAATTGTTGATGGAGTCGAAGGAATCATTAAAAACTCTCTTCCACATCTGGATGTGTGGTGGCATGTAGAGGATGGTTGTGTAGGTAGCCATGATCAACAGCAGTATGAATACTGTGTCTGCAAATAAGTTTCATTAAAATAAAATATTCTAATTACATACACTCTCCTGGTAGTTAAAAAATTTAAGGTAAATTGAATGACAGAACCACCACATAGGGTAGTAATTGTTTGATTTTTCGAGTTTGAAAACCAAAATATTTAGAGTGATAACTAAATAAAAATTAGAATGAGGACAAATCAGGTAAAAAGGCATTTAGTAGGTCTCTGAAGGTCAGAGCTAAGACAAAGATTATTAGTGTGGTGTGTGATAAAATTATACAAATAACAGAATATTATTATAATAAGTTATAAATTTGTGTGTGTGTCTTGAAGTGTAAGGGAAAGCAAATTTATTTTTTTGTGTGCTGCTCTTGCTTATGCTGTTTTGTGTCAACTGATCAAATTTCCAGCTTAACTCTAGACTATAATTATTTGCCTCACACTCATTTTTAAATTTTAATATATTATGTATTTGATTAGATTAGGTTACATTTGATTTTGGATTACAATTACAAACACACTATTGACAAACTTGACGACATATCTTCTCTTCTCAGCCACCAGCATAGTTAAACAAAAACCAGATGGTGGAACAGATTTAATAATTTGAAAAAACCGCATCAACTAACTGAACAGCTTCCTTTCCCAGGAGTCCAGCATGTAAAGTGACGTAACCAAGGTGTATTGGTAGTAGTAGTGACTGAGGGTTTTGTACAACTTGTTTATCAAATTTAAATTACTCATCATCTACTGTCAAATTAATTGAGACCTAATGAAGATTCTTATTGCAGGACATGCGAATAACAAGTATTTTACATTTATTTAACGACGAAAGTGATGGGAAATACGGAAGGAAGAGAGATTCCTAAAAAACAATCGCAGTAGAATTCAATCGCATATGTACAGCTGTTCGTGTTATGATGTGAGTAAATTGCATGTTGACTGAATTCAATTCTGTAGCGTTGCATATTTTGCTCTAGGTTAGTAAGGCAGCAGAAAAATACGAACCGGTCAGTTCTATTTTTATTTCTCTGATCCTATAATCATCTTGCATTTTTGCAGTATATTATACCCATAGAGTTTAGACAGTTTTCGAATCGGCTCTACCATCGCGTATTAGCAGCGCGAGACGTGGCACCTACTGAGCTAACTCGATGACTGCTATTAGTTATAGATAGCAATGTTGATTATTTGGTTTTCCTTAGGTTTTTGACAATGTCTGGCGACACTCTATGAACATATATATAGAATATATATATATTGGATAAAGACTGTCAGAAATGCAATTATTGATATATTGATATATTATAGAATGTGTTTCTATATATATATATATATATATATATATATATATATATATATGTATATATATATATATATATATATATATTCGTTAGAAAGTATCCCATCTTTCAAATCAATGTAAATTCATTTATTTGATGTTAATATTAGACAAGACATCTTTGCAGTTTTGAGTTGGAGCGATTTACTAAAGTTTTCCATTTCTATTTCGTGCTCTTCTTCCGTAAGAAGCAAACATAACTATCAAGTCGTCGCCCAATCTACATCCCAGGAATAGACTTTCATCACAAGACACCTCAAACATATTAACATTCATTGAAACTTTATCATTCACAGAACTAGTTTTTATTTATCGATCACCTCACAAACTCACTAAGTCATCATCTAGTCTATTAATTTGCGTTTTTATGTCATTACTTTATTTTATATTTTATTGTCTTTTTTTTATTTATTTTTTTATTATAATTTATTTTATTTTATTTTATTTTTCATGTTTAAACATTTTTCTTTCTCCGTTTTTGTATTTATTTATTTACTAATTCATTTAATTTTGTACTACTGCCTTGCATGCTGTGTCTGCATGTTATAAAGAAAAATAAATAAAAATAAGATCTGCACCCTCTCTCTACACGCTTCCAAAATGGCAAAAAACACTCCATTTAGGTTTCCATTTTTCTAAATATTTACGATTCAATCACGCAGAGTTTGTCGGCTGATACTAGCCCCATCAAAACTTCTATAACAACACTTTTGGATTCATACGTTCTTTTTGCGCATTTTTAATTAAATTTAGCTGTAATATTGCAGCGAACTGTAGAAGGTTGATAAAGCGATTCCAGTTAACAATTTTATGGGTATAATTACTTTAGATGAAATAAGATAAAACTTTTGAACCTTTTTTTCATAATATAATATCACACGGAGCACAGTCGAACTCTCTGCCTAGCCAACCTGATGTAATCCAATCAAAGAATATTACTTCTAACGGTCTCAGAGTCAGTTCGATTCTAAATGTTTAAAGAACGAAATAAAAAAAAAAAAGCTTTATGTATATGGTTTTTGATCTTTGCTATACAAATGAATAACTTTCTAAGCGTTCAATTGTTTATGTTTATCGGGATTCGTTTTTTTATCGCTCTTTGTTCTCGTTTTTATCCTATGAAATAATTAAATATATTATTTTTTATCCTTTGAAATAATTAATATATTATTTTTTATTCATTGAAATAATTAAACTTAATAATTTATATTATTTGAAATAATTATGCCGAAAGTGAAACGAAGTCGTAAACCGCCACCAGAAGGATGGGAATTAATTGAGCCAACGCTGGAGGAGTTGGACCAGAAAATGAGAGAGGGTAAGTGAAGTTGGAGGTTGTGGTGCACTTTATTTTGGACTGGCATCAAACATTTTAGTTAAATTTTTTAAAATTTTTATTTGCTTGCCACTGACCAACACCAAGATGTTAATTAGAAAATTAAATTAATCTTTTATTTTGATAATTAAATTATTAAATAATTTAATAAAGTTTGTTTTTACTTTAATTTAAATTTAAAAGAAGATCTACAAATTATGATATATATCATTATCTATATCAGGCCCTTTTATTTTATGTCAATTTGTGTTTCAGTTCTAAACTAAAATTTTAATTTATAATTTCATAAATTATTAATTTTAATTTATTTTATCACTTATTTATGATTTTTTTAAATATTTTTAAAACTTACGTTTCTTTCCTCTAAGCCGAGACTGACCCCCACGAAGGAATGAGGAAAGCCGAAGCACTGTGGCCCATTTTTAGAATTCACGGACAAAAGTCCAGATATATTTTTGATCTTTTTTATAAAAGAAAGGCTATATCGAGAGGTTTGTTTTATTGTTTGTCAGTTCCACAATCAAATCATTTCACTCATATTTTGTTTCATATTTCAATTTTCAAAGATTCATATAATTGAGTATGTCTACGTATTTCAATTACCATTCTGTTTTGTCTGTTAGTTTGCTTGTCGCGGTTGTATTAAAATTCATTTATTTTATTTTGTTCCAGTTTTGGTTCTGGCTTGCTCAAAAATGTTTTTTGTTTTTTTTTTAGTAGCCGTTGTTTTCAATTGGGTAGTGATACTGTTGCTATTTTATTCACGTCATCATCATCATTATGTCTGCCATTATTTTCATTGTGAATCTCATTAGAAACATCATTACAACAGAAACAACATCATGTTAATGTTAATTATATTATATTATTACAAAAAATATAATTAATTAAATGTTCATTAAACTGAAAATTATGTTATGAATCATGAGATAAGGTTCACAAATAGCACCTCAGTTATGTGCAATTGCAACGGTAGTTTTATATAATGAAAAATATTTCATGTGATAAAATTAATTTGAGTGTTTTGCATGATCGTTAAAGTTTTTCATGTATTCCGTGTCAAGTTTCAATGGTTTCTGCCATTTCATTCTTGCCATTATTGTCCCACAATAAATCCATTCAAATATAACTTCTCCAGATATCTTCAACTCAAGCACGTCAGATGACTAAAATTTTTGTGTTAAATATTTTTACTGATTTTATATCTAAATAGTTTTTGTAACTTTTACTGTTGTTCCATCGAGCAGAACTATACGAATACTGTTTGAAAGAGAAGATTGCCGATGCCAACCTCATTGCGAAGTGGAAGAAGACAGGCTACGAGAACCTCTGCTGCCTACGTTGCATACAAACACAAGACACCAACTTCCACACCAACTGCATCTGCAGGGTTCCAAAATCTAAACTGGAAGAGGTGTGTTGGCTAGTTGATAACTTCATTGATTATGAAATTATTGTCTCGCAAGTTTTAAAGGATATATGGCATCCAGCACAGCATGTATTTAACTTTCCTGGCTGTGGACTTGTGGTACATATACCCTGTGTAGTTTTTATGATGGTGTTTACTTTTCATTTTGGAGTATTTTTCAACTCACCTGTTTTTCTAAATATGTTCTAATAGTCTGGGCGGATCTTGCTGCATGGCATACCTTCTAGAGATGCATTTTCAAATGAATGCATCAACATACTGACAACATTGTTTCAACTGCTGCTAATTTTTTTAAATTTCTATTCTTTAAATTTTTTTCCCTGTGGACAATTGAATTTCATATTGTTTCGTCCATCCTTCCAATGTTTTTTCTCAGAGAAGCTTAGCTTTCAAATTTCAATGCCTCTCCTCTGTTGTAATTTCTTTTTCATAACTCATTTAAAAAAGGCATCTCAGCATTGTGCAACGTATATTTTCTGAACGTGTGTGTGGTTAGTGTATTCTGAACGTGTGTGTGGTTAGTGTATTCTGAACGTGTGTGTGGTTAGTGTATTCCTTCCCAGTCTCTATTGTTTGTCAACGAGATTTCATCCGTCTCTCTTTCTCTCACTCCAGATACATCTTTCCCATTGCATGCCATAAAACAAACTTCTGGGCCTCTGTGCCTTTGGAATTAAAATTTATCAGTTTTTTAAGTTTATTTCAATGTTGTAGCCTCTCTAAAATGATGTAAACATTAACCTAATTAACTAAACTTTAAATAAATTAATAAATTTGTTTTCAATTGCAGGGTAAAATTGTAGAATGCGTGAACTGTGGATGCAGAGGTTGTTCTGGCTGAACTTGCTCAAACGTACTGATGCTTTTCTTTTTTTCTTTTTTACAACTAATGAAAAAATAAATCATTTACATTCAACAAAATGTGTTCAGTTTGTTTTTTACATTAAAAACATTGGAATGTTTAAATAAATCTTCTTTTATTGGCGCGTAATACGTGCGTTATCGATATCATTAGGGACGATGTTGAAGCGTTTGAAGTGCCATCAGAGGCCGACCTTGAGACGTCAATGCAAACATGCTCGTATGTGTCGGCCGAGGTTTTGAACATAATTTTCAGCAGAAATAAAATTCATCTTTTTATCGTTTTAAATTCAACCACCAGCTAAAAATGTTAAATTTTTGAACCGTTCAAAACTAGAGTTTTATTTAACTATAATCGAAATGATTTAACAGCTAAGCCTGCACGTTTTTGACAAAATATATAGCAAACAGAGGTATAAATTCATTTATTGTCGAATTTAACGTGCATTCGCCTTCATATTCTCGTTATCATCTCGATATTCGAAACGAAACTGCACGCCTAACGAACGTCAGAGATAAGTCTTCAAGGCCCCGTTGTACAAATAAACATATGTACGCGTAACATTATACAATTTATATATGCAGTATAACACCATGCAAACATTCAGGTACATATAAACACGAACTTAACACTGTATTGTCTGTAATGTGTAATATACTTTGTATAGCATACACAAGACGTGCAATAGCTCATGCCGTAGAGCATTATACATTGTACAACGGATTAGACATGTATACATTGCAGTTGTACATGTATAGCAAGACATGTATTCAAGGATGCCAATGTTTACTTACATTTATTTATACACACATACACACACAGGCTGCAGACTCAGAGCCACAGTTTTCAATTACATACAGTCTATCTTCATATTTAAGTACATATGAACTATCTCATGTACATTATGTAATGTATTTTATATATAATATACATATATACCTTTGTAAAAATATATGAATTTGTATGTGTATGTTAAGAATTGTATGTCTGGTATCATATACCCAATGTTAAATGTATTATCATTGTGCCATGTTGCACTGTGCTTGCTATTGAGTGTTTTAATTGTCCTTGGATGAAGAAGCGTTCGTGAGGTTTTCTTACGTACGTATGTTTGTTTCAGCCAGCGTTTTATTATTATATTTTAAAAATTATTTTATTATAATTATATGGTACGCGTTATTCGAACAAATTTTATTTTTTTCATATTTTCAATTGTCAAAAACTGATAAAGGTAGAGATTATTAAATTAATTTAATTTAATTATTTATCAATTATTATTATCTTATCCTTTTATATTTATTTTTTGTCTGGATTGTATTAGTTAGTTCAATATTTTTAAAAATTTCAATTAATTTTTTAATAGATTTATTTAAATTATCATTGAGTTATAATAATTATGATTTAATTGTTTTTTAATTAATAAAATTTTTATATTATATTGAAATAAATGTGTGAGTAAATTAATTGAATTAATTGAACAAAAGATTTCAAGTTGGAGGGCATGTTTTAATAATTAATTTTAATTAGATATATTTTAATTTTATTATGATTATATTATATAATTATATTTTAATGAGGATGATTGTTGCACAAAATACAACTACTAATCAATCATGCTTTTTATTTTCAAATGATTCAATACAATTTAATAAAATTTGAATGAATAAATATTAATAAAGCATTTTGTTGATATATTTGTAACAAAAAATAAAATCCAATAACATAACATTAACAATAATCTTTGAAAAATTAAAAAGTTGATGATTAGTAAACCTTAAAAGACAAAGATATTGAAAGTTGCACAACGAAATCAAACATCACTTCATTCATTTTCAAACCTGGATTTCATGGAATCGAATGTTACTTAATAGTATTTCAACCATTTGCCATCTTTTATGTCAGCAAGAATTATTAACTTTGAAACCTTTTGGTTTTCCAACATGTCAGGTGTGGTATATGTCTAATTTCCCAGTTTACCTTCATTTTGCATGTTTTATTGTTATTGTTACTCGCATTACAGTTTTTGTTTCATTTTTATTTAATAGATAATTCTGGATAAAATTATCATAATTAACTGTATACTATGATGTTGAAAATTGCACAAAAAAAAATTTAAGTGTTAAGAACAGTTTGCAATTGAAATTTGTAAAGGAAGTACTTTAAAGTTGTTATATTATTCATGTGTTACTTATTTAACAAAAAAAATGTGTCTATTTATGTTAGATTCTGCAGTAGATAGTTCAGAGGTCTAAGGCCATTTTTTACTCAAGATTTGTGTTTGTGCATCATGTTATTGAGTCAGGAATAAAAAAATTGTTTGCATGAATGTATATAAGTTATTGAAGTTAAATTAAATATTATCAATCCTGATGGTTCTAATGGAAGAGATTATTTAGTGGCATATTTCTGGCTTAGGCTGGCTATTAACTAATCAATGTGATACTTTTAGTTGATATTGATATGGAAGTATCGATGTGATCTTTTAGTTAATTTGGAGTCCTAAACTGAAAATATGTAAAAGTTTGAGAAATAATTTTGAGACCACTGACAAACACTAACAGCCTAATACAGTCATAATCAAACTGGACCTTACATACAGTATTAAAACAAATTTTAAAAGTTATACAGTTGTAATTATAAATAATTTTGTTACAAACTCTAGCATGAAATAACATTAAAAAAATTATAAAAAAAATCTGAAACAGAAGCGAGCGGCTTGCACGATGATGCAGCAACGGCACCAGCCACAACAGTTGAGGAGTATGATGCCTTCCTTTCCGAGTTGATGTCCACCAGGCCCGATCTCATCCCGACAACTCCCAGTTCGTACGCCTTACGTGTCGTCATCATTTTCGTTTTTCATCGAATCAATCTTTGTTTTTTATGTGGCGATATTTTACCCTTTGATACACATGAACACATTGATAGACATGCACCCCTTGGTATAAACTTACATTATACAAGGTTCTTGGGGGCATACACCCTGGTATAAACCTACATTGTACAAGGTCCTTGAAGGCATACTTGCAAATTAACGCCTTTTGCACTTTTGCCTATGACACTCGTGGACTTCTTTGCGTTCGAAACTAAGTAATCCAATTATCACTATAATCACATTGCACGGTTCTTATTATCATTATTATCACCAATAACGATCGTTATTATTGATCTCGTCATTAGCATCCTAGGTAATATTATTGTCATCTTAATTATCATCAGCCATCATCGTCCTCATTTCATTATTATCACCCCTATTTAATGTACCACGCAATTATACAGCTGACTAAAGTGTTTTCTGTTAATATTTTTTTATTAAATTTTTATAAAATAAAAGTTATTATTTTTTAGTTATTTATGTCGTTTGATTGGTCTGCATTAAAAAATGGTGCAACAAAATCGTATTGACAGAAAGTTAAACGAATGTTGTATTGATTGTGTTGGTGCACTGCACATAGGACACACTGCACATAGGACAATGCATATACATACATACACACATGCTCATCCCATTATCTCCAGGCATATGTTCTACTTAATTAATTGGAGCCATTTTTGTATGTCTCTTGCGTTGTTTACGTTGTCCGTGTTTATTTTATCTATGTTTAATATTTTTCGATTTTCATTATATCTATGTTTAGGTTTTTATGATATCTATGTTTTCACGCTGGTTAAGTTTATTATGTCTATGTTGCTTGAGCTGTTTATGTTTATTATGTCTATGTTGTTTACGTTGTTTGTCTTTGATATATCTATGTTGTTTGTGTTTATAGTTTGTCGTATCGTAGTCTACTCTAATTGTCCTGCGTCTTCAATTTGTCTGTGTTGTTTACGGTTTAAAAAAAAACATTATTTACAATTATACTTTTTATGTTTTTATTTCTTTGTTTGTTTCATAGCGCTGACTTTAAACTTTGCTGTTTGTATTGCCATTAATCATTATGTTTATATTGTTGAAGTTTTGTTTTGTATACGTGTATGTGTGTTGGTGCATTATGTAATCGTCTGTACAGTTGCGTATTAGGCATCTTTATTCGGCACACAACTGAGTCGCAGTCAACAAAGCTTCGAGTACCTTTGTTGGTTTAAGTGCCAAATTATGTTTCAATGTTCTGATTGGTGTAGTTAATCATAATGATTAATAATAATAATATTATTATTATTTTTAATAATAATATTATAATAAATAATAATAATATTATTATGATCATTAATATTATTTCAATGTAGAGTAATTCATTCTCATATGATTTGCAAAAATTTCAACAATTTTTTAGCTCCAGACTCTTCACCGCATCATTTATTGCTTCTTGACAGTGTCACTCAGCAACAACCACAACATCAACAACATCCACAACAACAGCAACAACATCATAATGAACAGCAACAAATCTCAATAGAGCAACAACATCAACTGTCTCAACAACAACAACAACCACAGCAGCAATTCCTCTATCATCAACAACATCCGCAACAACAACAACAACATTCACGGCACCATCAACAACACCATCTCATGATGAATGATTTGATGCATGCGGCGTTCTCTGAATTGAGGATGATTGTTGAATGGGCTAGAAAGGTTCCCAGTGAGTGAGAGGGGTTGGTTGATTGATTGGCTGACTGGTTGGTTGATTAATTGATTGGCTGACTGGTTGGTTGACTGGTTGACTGATATATTGGTTGATTGGTCGGTTGATTGGCCGATTGGTTGGTTGATTAATTGATTGGCTGACTGGTTGGTTGATTAGTTGATTGACTGGTTGGTTGGTTGGTTGGTTGGTTGGTTGATGTCTAAATAAAGTGTTTGATATTCAAAATTCAGATGAATTGATTGAGTTATAAATTGATTGGCTGATGAATAAAAGATTGGGTTATAATTATTATCATGACCACCACATCGTCATCATCACTATCGTCATCGTTATCCTTACATCACCATCATTACCATCGTCACCACCATCATCATCACCACCATCACCACCACCAGGGTTCGCCAGTTTGCAGATGGGTGACCGAGTTTCGATGTTGAAGAGGTCGTTCGTTGATTTGTACCTCCTAAGGCTAATCTTCCGGTTGGTTGGCTGGGTGGCTGTGATTGGATGACTGCTTATTATGAAATTCGGTTGATGATTTGTGATTGGTTGTTTTGAGATTATTGCTTGTCGCAATTGGCTGTTGTTGATGGGTCGAATTTGTATGACTGAATGTGATTTGGTGAGGCAGTGTTTTTTTTTATTAATAGACTTTATGGAAGCTATAAATAGACTTTATGGAAGCTGCTATAAATAGACTTTGAGTCCAGTTCAGTGTCACTGCCTGTTTGCTGCGACATATAATTTATTTATTTCCACTGATGAGGTTGGTGAAATCTGAAAGTGTTGAAAGTCACGTTTAAAGGTTAAAAAGGTTAAAGGTTAACCTTTCAAGGTCACGTTAAGGTTAGGTTAAAGGTCACGTTTAAAGAGTGAGCACACTGTGACAGCTCTCACAGCATGGGATTGAATTGAATTGAAGTTTTTGACCGTCAGATTTGAAGACCTGTTACGAACCCAGACAGCATTTCGCACATTTGGTGTTGTTTGCATTGGATGTGAAGAATGTTTGTTTACGTGACGATGACGCCTGGGGAATAAATATGACGCTAGCAAAATTTTACGCTCCACCAGCGCTTCATTCGATCTTGTTCCCATGCTGCAACTTGTTATCATCATTTTTCGTCATCACCATCACATCTTTCATCATCGTCATCTTCATCATCGTCATCTTCATCATCGTCATCATTGTGTTAACCGTCATCACATCTTCATCATCGTCATCATCATCACATCTTCATCATCATCATCTTCATCATCATCACATCTTCATCATCTTCATCATCATCATCTTCATCATCATCACATCTTCATCATCGTGTTAACCATCTTAATTACGTGCAACGTGACGTCAAACCGCAACAGGTCCATGGCGTCGGAGAACAGATTGATGTTCAGCGATTCAATACTCCTGACGTCAGACGAATGTCTGTCGCTGGGCTGGAACGATGACGTCATTAGATCTTCCCTCTCATTGGTGGACCAGTTTAAGAAGTTGAACATAGACAAGAATGAGTTTGCTGTTCTTTGTGCTATTGTCCTTTTCTACCCTGGTCGGTTGGATGGTTGATTGGTTGGTTGGATAATTGATTGGTTGGTTGGATGGTTGATTGGTTGGTTGGATGGTTGATTGGATGGTTGATTGGTTGGATGGTTGGTTAGATGGATGGTTGGATGGTTGATTGGTTGGATGATTGGTGGATTGGATGGTTGGTTAGATGGATGGTTGGATGGTTGATTGGTTGGTTGGATGGTTGATTGGTTGGTTTGATGGTTGATTGGTTGGTTGGATGGTTGATTGGTTGGTTGGATGGTTGATTGGTTGGTTGGATGGTTGGTTGGATGGTTGGAAGGCTAACAACAACAACAATACAAATATCAACAACAACGACAACCTCGCGAACAGATGTACCGAACTTAATAAACCGCCAGCAAGTTCTGGTTGCGCAGAACAACTTGATCGCCTGTCTTCAGCACTACAACAACTGCCGCTTCCGTGGGGATAGGAACCGTCCCGGAAGGATCATCATGAGATTGGTCAGCATCCGGTCGACCAGTTCCGGAATTCTGAAGCAGTTTGTGAAGTGCACTCTGGAGGGGCATGTTCAGATGGATGACTTGGTTATTGAGATGATGAGTTGAGTGAGTGCATGTTCGGATGGAGTGCTTGTTTAGATGGTGGCTGGTTGGTTGGTCGGGTGGCTTGGTTGCGGTGTTGATGAGTTGGGTGGAGTTTAATTTGTATCTGCTGCTCTGCTCTGCTGTATGGTTTTGTGAGTGATGTTGTATATTTGGGGTTTTGTAGCAGTCCTGCAGGCTTTGTGGTGGTTATCTGGCTTCAGTCAGTGTGAGGATGGTGACGTTGTTAATGGAGATGGTGTGGTGCGTTTGTGTGTGTGTGTGTGTTGTTGTGGCTGTTGTTGACGAAGTTGTTGTTAATATTTATTTATTTATCTTTGGTGGAGTTTTGTGGTAATCTGAGCACTTGAATGAAACTTAAGAATCTTCTTTCGGATTGTTTTCGTCGTCTTGGTACGAGTGTGATTGTCTTGTTCTCTTTTAGCTTTCATATTGATGTTTGAAGACCCGCAACTTTGTTTTGTGGAGTGAAAACTGTGAAATTTTGTTGCGTTCCTCTTTATTTGTGCTGTTTCTATTTCTACTTGATTTTATACAAGTGATCTGCACGTTTATGTGTCTCCGTCTAATGTACACCACATGTACACACACAGAGACATATAAGCGCAACGTAGATGGGTTTGTTTGTTTGATTGTTTGTTTGTATGTATGTTTGTTTGTTTGTTTGATTGTTTATATGTTTGTTGGTTTGTATGTATGTATGAATGTTTGTTTGTTTGTTTGTATGTTTGTTTGTTTGTTAAAAAAATTAGCGTCTCATTATTATTACTCATTTTCACCATCATCTACATCTTTATCCACCTACATCATCATCCCAACCATCTTCGTCACCATCATCATCTACATCACCAACATCTTCATCATCAATAAACACACACACACACACTTCATCTCCAGACATTCAGCTACCAACCCAACCCAACTCACCACTTCCTATGCCTTGCTACTTTGCTAACTGCACACGCGTCTGTCGTGTCTGTCTGTCTGTCTGCTGTCTAAAATATCTTTGACAATATGTGTGTATGTATGTGTGTGTGTGATTTTGTGTGTATGTATGTTTATATGTATGTGTGTGTTTATATGTATGTATGTATGTATGTACATGTATATGTGTGTATGTATGGGTGTGTGTATGTATTTATGATTTGTGTGTGGGTATGTATGGTGTGTGTATGTATGATTGTTTGTGTATGTATGTTTATATGTATGTGTGTGTGTGTGTGTATGTTTATATGTATGTGTGTGTATGTATATTTGTATATGTGTGTGCAATAAATATTTTTTGCTTATTATTTTTATACGTATATTAATTTTGAGAAGGGGTAAAAATATTTGTCTTTTGAATTTGATTTTAGAATGTGTGTATATTAGGACGTTGTATCATTGGTATTTGTTTGCTTGTAGGATGTATTTATGTATGTATGCATGTATGTATGCATGCATGCATGCATGCATGTATGTATGTATTGTATATGTATATATATGTACGTATGTGTGTGTGCATGTATGTATGTGTATGTATTTATGCATTCTATTTGAACATAAGTGTGGGAATATTATGTGTGTTGTAGCGTCTATGTTAATGTATGTTTTTGAATGTATTGGGAACGTATTTGAATGCGTGTATGTGTGTTTTTGGAGCGTGACTGACTGTATGTCTGTTTGTGGTGTTGGTAGGTATTTTGGGTATTTTTTTGTATTTCCTGTTCTCCCAGCGGCTTTTCAGACGATTTTCTTTATTCATTATATCCCGTTGTTCGTATTTTCAATTGTTGCGCAGCACTTTCGTTTCTCTTTATTTCGTGACGTCATTTTGACTATTATACGTCACTGCAGTTAATTATTTCGTGTTGTTGTTGTTGTTG